TAGCATGGTCAACTAATTGGATATTACGACTGTCTTACGACTTTCCTTCGACTTTCACTTCTTTTAGCCTCTTCTCAAAGAATTCAGTTGGAAGGCGCTAATAAGTAGGCTCTGTTCCTATGTTAAGTTACATTAAATTTACATACATATGTACAATGCATATTAAATGTACATTTCTGCCCTACAGTATTCACTGCTTCAAGTGGAAAGTAGTCCTCGAGCAAACCCAAAAAAAATATGCTACAGAGAAAGCAACAATTAATCTAGGATCTATGTAGAGCGATCCCTTTGAGTTTTCTGTGTCTCCGCTTCATATATAGACGTATGGCTAATCATTTGGCTGACCATTAGCTGTAATTATCTCAGCTTTAGCTACGACCCTCAAGTAACCCCCATAAGTATGCTATATTTTGCGCTATGTTAGCTTCTAAAGCAAGTTTCTCTGAACTGAAATTGTTTATACAGACGAATCTTACATAAATATGAGCCATATTGCGCTTGGATTATCTCTAAACTGTTGGAGAATTGTGAAGAGGCATAAACACAATTGGATTCAATTTCATTGCCCCGAGCACTCGTATACAATACTCTGCCTCAATATACTGCCTCTGCAAGAGCTGCTATACATTGACAGTGTGCGTAAGGCTATGCATAAAAAGCGAAACAATAGACAGATACAAAGAAGTTATAGTTTCCTGCTTCATAATTTGTCTTCTTCTCTCCGTTTTTTTTTTCTTGCGGCGTTTGCGTTTGTGTCGTTTCGCTTCGCTTTTCAGCTTAATTAAGAAATCCAATTAACATCATTGGCACTAGATGTTCCAGAATATGCGCAATTTATTTTATTTTATGTTGCCCACACACACACACACACGCATGGCTCTCTCTCCTTGTGTGTGTGTGCGTATATTTGTAGCCTTTGGCCTTTCTGCATATGTAGACAGAAGCAGGATCTGTGTCGCCGTTGCCGCCATTGGCATTGATAACGCCTCCGAGTTTGTCATTGCGTGTGGCCCAACGCTAGCGTGTATACGTGTGTACGTGTGTGTGCGTACGTGCCTGTGTGTGTGTGTGTTTGTGTGACACGCAAAGCTCAAAACATTAACAACAATGACAAACAACTCGGCAACAGAAACAGCAACAGCAGCTGCTTTTCCTGTTTGCCCATTCAATTTCAATGTTGTTGTGGGCGTGCCAGCAACACACCCACACACACGCGTTTGGCCAGCTGATCAGCTTTATGTTCATGCATTAGAGGCGACAAAGCGCGAAAGAGAGAGAGAGAGAGGGAGGGAGAGAGAGAGGGTGTGAGCGCGCGAATAGAAATACGCCCATCACTAAACATACTAGCTGGCAACAATAAATACAATAAACGCAACAACAACAACAACAATAACGGGAGTCAAACACGCGCCAATCGCAGAACGCCCATCACTAAGCACAGAGTCAACAGCAACAACAATAATAATAATTACAAAAACAACAACAGCAACAGCAATCACCATAGGCCTGTCACTGCATTGAGCTCTGAGCTTAACTCTGCCATTTCAACTCAACTCAAGCGAGCTTAACTCATCGCATAGCCAAAGTCAAAGTCAAACTTAGCACAGCTTTGCCTGCAGCTCTCTGACATTGGCACTCTTTCGTTTTGCCGCTCTCTTTGTCTCTCTCTCTCTCTCTCGCACTGTCTCTTGCTATTATTAGCATAAACAGTTACAACAATAACAACGGCAGCAGCAACTAGAGCCGACACACATTAAAGCAAATCTACTTAGCATTAAACCAATTCTACTTAGTTAAAGGGGGTAAGGAAAGGACGATTCACACAGCTTTTGTGAGCATTTTCATTAGAGCGCACAAAATGCGAAAGCCAAACTGATTAAGGCCTCAATTCAAAGACAACATTCAGCCCCCACTCATATGTACATGCTTGTATATGTGCTGTGTAAGTGCACGAGAGCGAGACGACTGAACATACTAAGCATACACGCACACTGCAATGTACCTGCTTGTAGTGAGCGCGTGTGTGTGTGAGTGACAATGAGAGTGAGAGTGCGAGCGTCTGTATGTGTTAATATGCAGATTAGAGATGGGCGCAGGCAAAGGCTTTTATCGCAGCCCTTTGGGCATCGGACTAAGCAAGACGTGCTTGGACCTCAAATTTCGAATAACGGCGCAGACACAAAAGAAAACAACAATAACAAAAAAACTGCAACAATTAGCAAGGCAACTATCAATAGGGAGGGATTAGTATATGTATATATGTATATTTATTTATTTATACATATGTATATATACATGTGTGCTTGTGTGTGCATACATAAGTATGTATTTACGTATGTATGTATATAATATAAATTATGTATATTGCACGACAGTCGTTGGCTTTGCTTCACGATATCTGTCTTCGTTTGCACGCCCATCTCTAAGGCAGATGAACTGTAACAGTTAGAGAGACAAATGGAGGCAGCGATGAACGCGACGGCAGTGCGACAGAGCAAGAGCACTAGAAGCGTAAGCAAAAGCAAAGCTCAAGCATCAACACACAGGCACGTAACGGGATTTGCGGCGCTGTGAGTTTCTGGTGGATTTTATAAACAAATATTTGGATTTAACGGCGAAATGCGAGCGTGCGTCTATGCGAGCGCGCATTATGCTTAATTTAAAGAAAATTTTTTGTACGCCTAAGTACCGCACACACTCTCTCCCTCTCTCTCTCCCTCATTATGTGTGTGTTGGTGCGTGCGTAGCTTAGCATTTACTTAGTTACAGTTAAACTAGAGCTCGCTCGCTCGTGCTTAGTCTAACAAAATGAAAATAAATAAATAAATAAGAGCAAAAAAAAAAAAAGACCAGAAAACCGCACCCAAGTCGAGATTACTTATCTTTAGTTTTTCATTTAAATATGAAGAGCCAAGTGCCCGTTACTCAGCGTGTGTGTGTGCATATATATCTAAGTGTATGTGTGTGTGAGTGTGTGTGGTGTACTTTCATTTATTTGGCTGCTTTTGGTTTCCTTTCTACTTTTACTTTATGGTTTTTATTTTCCTCTTGCTGTTTTTTTTTAACGTTTTAGCTTTTTTTTTGCTTCTTTACACACAGAAATTCTTTACATACTTCGTCGTATTTGGTTTTTTTTTTTTTTTTGTTCTTGTCGGTGCCAAGCCTCCGTCAGCCATCAGAATGGCCACGCCCACATCCATATACTACACGCCCAGCCCACCCACAGAGCGGCGCACTTGTGCGCCTTTTTATGTGCGATTTAGTATTTTAGTATTTTCTGATTCTCCCCCAATACAAACACTCAGATACATATATGTATGTATACATATATACTTGTGTGTATGTGTGTGTGTGTATATGTAAATACGTATACATACGTATATGGGCAGCTTAACTGTATATTTGGTGCTTTCAATTCCGGTTTTATTTCCAAGTTAGTTAGGCTACCAAATAATTGAATTTAGAGAGCCCCAGCTGGACAAGAAAACCAGATACACGCAAACACACACATACACACACACACACACACACACACACACACACACACATAGGCACATACGTGATGACGTCAGCTTTCTTTGAATGCGAAATGCGTCAAAACAAGCAGCAGCAGCACAGCAGCCGCCCGTTTGCCAAGTGGGCGTGGCACACATACCGCTCTGAAGTGAGAATTGCAGGGCGGCCGGGGCGGTAGCCCCTGGGTCTTAGAGGTTGAGGCTTAGTTATGAGATTGTGGTTGATAAAAAGGATTAGGCGACCGGATTCTGATGCTGCTGAGGCTTCAATTGAGCCAATTATGATGACTGAATCAAATGTGTGTGTGAGTGTATGTGTGTGTGTGTGGGTGTGTGACGTGTGTGGCTATGGGTGTGGGTGTTGGTGTGTGTGTGGGTTGTACGATTCTCGGCTCTAGTTTTCATTTTATTATACCTAAAACTTTTATGACAACTTGCATTACTTCTGGCATTCAAGCCATGTTTCGATTAACTGAATTAAACACCAGCAGAGGTGTGCCCGACGAGCTGATACCCAGCATTTCATAAATGTTTTGGATTTCATTTTGAGTTTCATTGAGAATCTGTTTACAAATAAATTCAATTTAACATAATATATCTCCATAAAATATTTATTTCAGTTAGCTAGTTAGTGCATATGCCCGATTTGTGGACATGAAAGGGTATATGAAACGATATGTGAAAGGCAACTGAACATGAAAGGGCAAATTTCATATAGATGGGGATGAAGAAGGCTATGTGTAAGGGAATCGGAAAGGGTATGCCAAAAAAAGTATATAAAAAGGTCTTTAGAGAGGTACACATATAGAAGGATATATGGCATATGTGGGTATATGGATAGTTTTGAGGTCATTTGAAAGGCTATTTGTAAGGGTAAATGGATGAAAGCAAAAATTGGTAAGAGAACTGAGAGAGTATATAAAAATGTTTAAGTGAGGGCCTTCAACAAGGTATATACACGTAGGTGTATGTAAGACTAAACGCATGATATATAGGGTATATATCTTTGCTTTCTTCTCGTTCGAAAGCAAGTGAAGATCTATATATATATGACTATTGGTAAGAATATTTGTAAGCCTAGATATAAGAGTATAAAAAGTAAGGGTATTTTGTAGTTTATAATCCCTCACTCGTTCCTCTGCACCAAAAGCTAGTTTTGTTACCTTAGACGCGCACAGGTCCCACACGTGTTATGCTGCCTGATTTAACTAGAAATACTTGAATATCAAATGATGATAATGGTAATGTATGTGTTAACCGATAGCCCCACAAGCACACACACGATATATAACTCTATATCTCGCTATATATATACCCGATATGATGTATTCAAATGCAATTTACACTTAGATATCTCAGCGACTTTAGTTTTAGTTCTAGTCAATGCACATACACACACACACATACACACACATATACTATATACTCTATCTCTATATCTATCTCTCTATCTCGCTCTCGCTAATTGCATGATTTGTATTTTAGCTCCGCAAGCCAGCGTCGACACTGTCAATTCCTGGCTCGATGAAAACACCTTCCATTGCGAACCGGGAACAGATCTCATCTGGATGCAACGAAGAAGCGGCCGAGGCTTTAGTGGGTATCCACTCCGACTACCCTAGGTATGAAATGTATGTATACCAAGCTCCGACTAGTACTACTCATATATGCATCCCATATATATATATATCTAGTTGCTAGACTTAGCCATCACATCAAATCGAACCACACACGCCCCCAAACACACCCCCCTCAGAAAGAGAAAAAAAAAACAACTTTGACTAATTGCTATGGGCCATAATTAGCTGTCAACGCCAGCAGGGGCAGATTATAAATGTCACACATACACATGCACACAGAGTGAGTGTGTGAGTGTGTGTGTGAGAGGGAGAGAGTCGAAACTAATCCACAACAAATGGGAAAGTTATATAAAAAGTTTTTGCTAACTATCAAATCAAGTCCAATCGAATCGGCTCTGACGAGCATTCAATTTGTTTGCCATGTATTATAAAGTCACTTTGGCTATAGTCTATACACACACACACACACACACACTCACACACACACATACATTTATTGTCATGTGTCCAGCTAAATCTCTGTCGTTGCCTGCGCAAGTAGAATACATTTTTGGCACAGAGTGAGGCATTGATACCCTGCAAAGTTTCCTTGTTGGGAATGGGGTAGATTACGCTAGCTGATGTTAGGCTTAGATGCTTACCTCGATATATATCGAATAAAATGCTTGCTTTTAACTAATATTGTACTTATGATATACATATGTAGGGAAATTAAGAATATTAATACCTTTATTATCGATACCTATCGATGACAGTCAAACATAATATACTGTACTTCGTATACGTTTTGATAACTATCGATATTATTCAGATATTATAGTATACTAATATGTCCCTCGATAAATACCGATAACATTCGGCTACAATAACATGCCACCTCTTATGAGCTTCAATAACTATCGATAACATTCAGCCATTATAGTCCACTACTATAGAACTTGACAGCTATACCATTCAGTTTCAATAAGACTCTACAGTATATGAGTTTCGATAACTATCGATAACATATTAACATACAATTATATCATTATATATTTTAGTTACGTTTGTAGCTATCGAAAACATTCAGCCAATAATATCTACCGTTTGACAAAAGCTGCGATAACTATCGATAGTATTTTAACCGACTATTATAACATTAGGTTTTTACTAACGATTAATCAATCTTTTATCTAAAAATATTCAGCCTCAATTATTTATCGCTTCACAAAAGCTGCGATAACTATCTATACCATTCTAAGATACTACTATAACATTATAGCTATTGTTTAAAAAAATCGAAAGCATTCAGACAATATTATCTAACGCTTTACAAAAGCTGCGTTAACTATCGATAACATACAGTAGTTCAATATATTCTATTTGAAATTTCAACTAAAATCCATTTTACTCAAGTTTCGTATAGCCACTCATATGTTCAGCCATTTCAGACATAATGACCTAAGTTTACCTTCAGAATAAAATCAATAGCCATATAATATTGCAAACCAATTTGATTGTAATGCAATTTCGTTTGCTATGGCGCCATATGGTAACATTCCTTGGACTTCATGTGAATTCATTTGATATTCCACTAGATAGATTTATACACACGCACACACAAAGATATACATATGTATATATATATCGATATGTTGTTGGGTTTGTCTGCTCAGTAGAGGGTATGTGCTAGTCTAGTATAGTGCTCTAGTCGAATTGATTTTGCCAAATGGAACCTAGTATATGCAGCTGGCATTTAGGCAACTATGCATGCATGTCCGTTCATGTCGTGAGTCGTGAGTGGAGCATATTGGCTTCGCTGCATTCAAATGTCTCTATAACAAGCACGGGTATTATGCAGTCGATCAAGTTCTCCCTCTCTCTCGCTCTCTCTCTCTCACTCTACTCCTTCGTGTCTGCTTGTACACAAATTGATGTGACACAAATTTTCATGAGCTGGCAGCCAACCTGTCATCCATTAGTCGAAGATTTATTAAGCAATGCCCATTCATATGCGCTCAGAGACAGACAGACAGACAGATAGATAGTTAGATAGATAGATAGATACATGGATGGATAGATAGATTCATGTATGGATAGATACATTTGCAAATCTGTCAATGTCTTGGCCATCGAGTAGTTTTAGTCGCTTGGTTGCTCGACTCGAGGGGCTGACGATGACGACGACGACGATGTGGTGGCATGGTTTATCAATTAGCATTAAGTATACGCTCCGCAATCCACATCGATGTGTTTTTGTTTTTTTCTTTTTCTTCGTGTGGCATTTGCCAGGTATATGGAAGAACGTGCGCTTACTGGCGGGAATACCTCCAGGAAGCCATCCACAAACTCGGCCAAACACAAACCGAATGTGGGCTATCGCCTGGGCAAGAGAAAAGCACTGTTCGAGAAGCGCAAACGCATCAGCGATTATGCCCTGGTCATGGGCATGTTCGGCATCATTGTGATGGTGATTGAAAACGAACTGAGCAGTGCCGGCGTCTACACAAAGGTGAGTGCTAATTAATGACAACTGACAACTGTGACGACTGTCACGACTGATGAATTATAACTAATCGAATCGAATCGAATTGAATCGAATCGAATCGAGTTGAATCGAATCGCATTGAATCCCATCGCATCGCATCGCATGGAATCGCCTACCGATGCAAGCCGACAGCTAATGAGCCGTGATGAATATAATAACTGGCAATCGAATGAAATTAAATTGAATTGATTCCATGACAATTGCGAGGGAGCGAGGGAGAGTGGGAGCGGGAGAGATATAACTGTCAACTGTTGAATAAACGAGTGTTACTTAGCGAGTGGAATAAATTATTGAGAGTGATGTAGAGCACTAAGTGAAATACTAATAGAGCTACTCGATATTCGGTTACTAGAGTTGAATGAATTACTCACTAATGGAATATATTACGCAAAGCGTAGAGCATGATAAAAGTGACATCAGTTTATTTACTCTCATTGCCTAGAGGAAAAGCAACTCTTCAATGTTTGGGAGTATGGAGAAGTGCAAAAATAGAAGATAATAGCTAGATAGATGATAGAGGAAATGTTTCTATTTCTGATATATCCAATAGAGCTACGAGTAAAAATTAACGAGCGAGTTGCTAAATAGAATCTCTCACTCAGACAATATGCAGTAGAATGGGAAAGGGCATTACGGCCGAATTCCGATAATTCAAAATTTCGTTTCCCATTTTCGTCAGACAACATACGATAGAATCTATCGTAATGCCCCTTCGCGTAACGAATTAGCGGGATTCTACCGTATGTTGTCTGACAGAAAGATCAGTTTTCCTTTTTTTTTCGATTTACACAGAGATTCAAACTATTCAGAACTCTCGAGAACGAATTTCAATCAAGTATATCGAATTTATTTCGATTTATAGTGATTTTCGATTTAGCGGAGTTTGAATTACCCAGATTCGACTGTATATAGAATAAGCAGTCGTAACACAGAAATGCAAACTATTAAGAATTATCGAGAGGGAATTTTTTCAAGGGGATATATTTTTGTTTCGATCTATCGCGATTTTTTTTAACTATCGAGACTCGCCTAAGTAACTAACAATTTGAACTTTCATTTCCATTTCGTTCTCTTTTGCAGGCATCGTTTTACTCGACAGCGTTAAAAACCTTAATATCTGTTTCGACTGTGATTCTTTTAGGACTTATAGTAGCTTACCATGCTTTGGAAGTGCAGGTGAGAGTGAGTGCAAATTGTATCTTCTCTTCCAGATGTTTATTGATGGTCGTCATCGTTATTGTTTAACGTTGCCATCGTTTTAACCGCCCGCCCGCCCGTCCGCCCAGCCCAGCCCGCCCGCCCGCCTGTCCCCGCCCCCAACCTCGCTCACTGTTATGATAAATCCCAAGCCTTCCAAACCAAACCCAAACCCAAACCCGATACCGTAAAGTAACTCTAATTCCTCTCATCGTGTCCAACTCTAGAGCTACGGCCCCGGGCCCCCTAGGGTTTCCCCTATCCCCTATTCCACACACCTCATTGCAGTTTGTTTGTTGTAAAGTTTGTGTGTTCTTTGTCTGTTATTTCTTCAATCTCAAAAGTAATTTGCCCGTAGCTCAAAAAGAAAACCCCCCAAAAACAAAAAACAAAAAAAAAACCCTAAAAGAGAATGCCAACAAAAGTAAAAATCAACCGTAAATGAGAAAGAAAACAGAGTCTTGCACTTTGCATTGAACGTAATCGTAATCGTAATCTCGTTATCGTTATCGTTATCGCCAACGCCAGCATGCATGCCAGCTGGCGTTACGGAACGCAACTGTACCTAACACAAAGTGCAACACTTTGTTAATTGTTTTTATCTATGCCTATGCATATGTGTATGCATCCATATATATATATACTATATATATTTATACATTTCTTTATACTTTTGAATGTCTTTTTTTAATATCCAATTATCGAAATCCGTTCCGTTCATTTCACATATATAGAGCATATATATGTATACTATATAGAGAGTGCGTTCTATGAACTATGATCCCTAGACTCTTAGAGGTGCTGCTGCTCTCAGCTGACTAGAACAAACAGCAAAAGAAACAATCCATCAATCAATCGATCAATCAATCGAACATCATTGTGATGCATTGTAAATAAGATACATTCCACATCCATCAATCAGTCAATCTTTTTCGCTTCATCTTAAGACCATAATTGCATGTACAGCACTCACCTCAATCAATTAATCAATCAATCTCAACTCTTTCAATCAGAGAGTTGATCAAAGTACATTTCTTTTCATTAGCATGTACAGAACTCAGCTCAATCACTCAGTCAATCAGTCAATCAATCTTTTAATCGGAGAACTCAGCTCCATTCATTTCTCATCATCGTAAGGGCAATTGCATGTACAGCACTACAGATCAATCAACCAATCAAGATGTCAATCAAGCTCAATCAGAGAGCTAAATCCATTCACCCACATCGGAAGTCCAACTGCATGTACAGCACTCAGCTCAGTCAGTCAGCTCAATCGAAATCCCTTACCCCAATTCATTCCCTTCGACTCCTGCATTTGTTTTCCTTCAGTTTTATAATTATCTCTGTAACTCTATTTCTCTCTCTATATATATATGTTTATATATAAATACATTTAATCGAATCACATCTAAATAAAATGTTCGCATGAGTAACGGTAATTGATAAGACATAGAATACCCAAATCCAGAGCATGAAAGAACAATTTAAACGTTTTGTTATTCCTTATTTTATATAACATCTATCTATCTATCTATCTTTATATATATATAAATCTATATATTATTAACTCTAGTTATCTCAAATTGCATCTCGAACATGTCTTTTTCTTTTCCAATACATTCGATCACAAAACATTGCACACAATTTACTCGTATATCCAATAATATCAACTGATAATTCATAATCAAATACAAACTTCTTGAGAAAAAATAGCAAATCTAGACGAGAAATCGATATTACATACATATACATATATATATATATAAAATTAAGCAAATAGAATTCGTTTCGTTTTCGACTAAATGAGAAAGTCCTGTGATATCCTGTGTTTCGCTTTTTTCGATTGATAATCTAAAATCGATGATGATGATGATGATGATGTTGAAGAAGAAGAAGAAGAAGAAGAACCACCGCTCAATCTAACTATGATAAAGCCAATGTACATATATATATATATATAGATCTATATATATACATTCCTCTATCTGAGCCAAATCATTTGCCAAACAAAATAAAAAAAAAAAACATATATCGTCCATGATTCAGATTCAGTTTCAGAATACATCAATTGAATGTTCAATCATCTCCGATGCAACAGACCAAATATCAATCAATCAATCAATCAGTCAGTCAGCTAATCAATAGCAGCTCTATATGTCATACAGATATACATATATACATATATGCATACATGTGTATATGTATTTATATGCATATGTATGTGTGTCCGCACATATAGCTCAACATTTCAGTCGTCTCTCATACTTCGTTATCTTCATACTTTGTTATCGACTATATAAATCCGAATAAATGTTAACTCCCCCCCTTCCACAATTTTTTTTAATGTTGATGTTTAAAGTAAAAATTTTAATATGTAATTACCTTCCAATTATGCTTTGCAGAATTCAGTAAGTAATACTTATATAATATACATCATAAATATTTGTGAGTAATTCCTACATGCATAGTGTTATGTACCCCATACATACTATATATGGTTAACAGTACCAAAAAAAAAAAAAAAAAAAAAAAAAAAAAAAAAAAAAAAAAAAAAAAAAAA